TTAGCAAAATTGCATCAGAAAGGGTCCAACATGTTAGTCAAATGCAGAGTGTGAATATTTTATGAACCTAAGGATGGGATGAAGGGAGGAAGATATTTAAGGGAGAAGGTAGAGCTGGAGACAGCAAAGTCACAAGCAAAATCTTCATCTACAACAGCAAACCATGAAGTGACGGGTTAGAAGGAAAGAGAAAGGGATAAAGGTAGTATCTGATGGTAAATGTCTCAAAAATAGTATCTTTAACATAAAATTAAAGAGATCAGGGTGATTTAGCCTGAGTGGTGATATAGAAAAGCTTACGGGAAAGAGTAAGAAATATGACACAGAACATGGTGATTTTATGTTAGAAATTTGAATGTTTTTAATAGTGGCAACAGTTCTAATTCAGTCTAGTTCTCTTCAAAGAATAATGACCATAAATTTAATTTAAAATATATAAATATACTATATCATCCTTCCCATGAACCAATAAATAATAAATTAAGATTATTATCTACTTCATCTTATCCTATTGCACTTAGACTACTGAAATAATAGGTCACCCTGACTGCAGGTCTCCTTCCTACAAGCAGGATGTTTATCCAGCATGATGCTGCCAGATAAGTATTTCTAAAACCCTGCTTTTATCTTGTAACTTCCCTGTTGAAAACCTTTCAAAAACTCCCAGTCTTTCACACAACTACCAAAGTAAAAATCCGGAGAACTATTCCAGAGCACAGGCCTGACTATGTCAGTCATCTGCTCAATAAATTCCAGGAGCTGCCATTACTTCTAGAGTAATAATGGCATTTCTAGAATAATAACGGCATTTAAAGCTCTTCATAACCTGTCCCCAAACTACATTTCTAGACTTATTATATATTACTCCCCTTTAGGCACTCCCTGGTTCAGTCAAACTGGCTTTCCTATGGCTCCTCACACACAGAATCCCACTGCCCCTTTTCCTGCCTTTACAGAAATTATTCCCCTTCTTCATCTCTGCCTCTTAGGATCTTTAGTTTCTTTAGTTTCATTCAAACCTCAGCCCAAATGTTACTTCCTACCTGGAGTCTTTGCTGTTCCTTCCCAGGTGCCAGTGTCTTTCCTCCAAAATTACCTTGAACTGAGGAAAGACATCTCCCTGAGGGCACCTTCTGGTAGTATAAAATGTTGGAAGGAGTAACCCCAGAGGGGCTGTTCCACTTAGATAATCTCTAAACTCTTGTGTACAAACTATTAAGCCCCTCAAGGTTAAAAAATAAACAAATAAATGAATAAATAAAAACTATTCCAGTTTTTTTTTTCTTTCGTTCATTTTTTTTCTGTTAAAAAGAAGAAAAAAAAACCAGGACATTTGTTGAGTATCTATCAACAGGGCATTATGAAACAAAATTTGGCAATCACCACTTCCAAAAGAACTTTCTTTTCTGATATAAGTTCTCCAAGATGAGAACTATCAGAAGAGAAAAAGGAAAAACCAGAAATGACAGGATTTAAAAAAAAAGATAAAAATACAAAACATGGCTGTTTGGGGAAGAGTAG